ACTTAATTTGAGTCAAATTTTCAGACTAACAAGACAAATAATCTTACACATTCTGAAAACAAGATTATTATTCTCACACAATCAGTTCTTGTTTAATAAATCGGTCTCAAAACAAGATCATAAAGACATTTTGGCTGATATAAGATTTTAAAACTTGGTAAGATCAGTGTAGAAAATCCATCCAGACAGTCGTGTTTCAGAAAAGTTCTTGCTGAAATCATAAACTGCATCAATCACAGCAACATGGCTTCAAAGTAGAAGAGTCCAGATCCTGAACTGACCTGCCAGCAGACCTCTCACCAGTTTGAAACCTTTGATGCATCATGAAACAAAAAATCCATCAAAGACCCAGAACTGTTGAACAGCTAGAATCCTCCATCAGACACGAATGGGACGACATTCTCTCCAAAAATCGAACTGGTCTCCTCAGTTCCTGAACTTTTACTGTTGTTAAAAGAAGAGCCGCTTCACCGAGAGACACACAAAACTGTCTCCAGTTTTTTATATGATGCTGACATCAAATTCAAAATCATGTTATTTCTCTTTCCTAAAAATGGCACCAAGCAGGTTGAAACATTTGATGTTTACTAATTGTATTATGAATACCCTGGGTTAATGAGATTTACAAATCATTGCATTTTTTTAATTTACATTTTACACAACATCCTAATTTTGTCAGAAATGTGGTTGTAATTAAAGTAATCAAAACAATGAATTCAAATATGCAATAAATGAAATACACAGTTCAAACAAGTATTTAATTTATTTTTTTAACTTTTCTTCCAAGCTAAATCCAGGCTATAATCTGTTTAGATTTTTCTGACATCCACACTGTTTGCATTAAAGCCCTGAGCTGCTGATCCTATCTTCTGTCTGTTAGAAACAGTGGAAGCATGCTGTAGGACCCATCCAACCCTTTCAGTTATTTAAATAATATTTTCCACGTAAGGCAACGAAAGAGCTGCAGCTGTAGGTGGACTCAAACGTATCGGATCAGTCAGAACCAGGCTGTGATTCTGGGTTTGCAGAATATTGTGAAAGGCATCTGGGCCGTAGAAAATGACTTCTCATGCAAATGAGACCAATTCCTGCAGCTTTGCAGATTGTATTCTGAATTTATTAACATTTGAGTCAAACTGGCAGCTTGTTTTTTTTTAACATTCAGTAATCGGGGGGATCTTACCTTCTCTCCTGGAGGTCCAATCGCTCCTTGTGGCCCTGGGAGTCCCTGTGGAGCAGATCCAAAGTGGTTCTGAATGTTTGCTTTGATCAAAAAGATAGTAACCTAAAGTCAGAACACCTGCCCATTACTAACCTGAGCACCGGGGTTGCCTTGCTGCCCAGGAGGGCCCGGCTCTCCTTGGGGTCCCTGCAGAAACATATTCATTTTAAAAAACCTTGTTATGAACACCAAGACTGAAAAATCTGAGCAGAAAACATTTGAGTCAAATAACTTTGTTCAATCCAAACACTGGACAGAAAGAGTTTAAACATAATATGTGGTGCTGGCGTGTTAAAGCTGCAGAACGTGGTGGCTCAGTATGATAACCCCACATCTGTGTCTGTCACTCCCTGACAGCACTTTAATAAGACAGGCAGACAGAAACACAGAATAGAGATTAAGTCTCAGAGAAAAAAAAAGCCATGTACAAATGTGTTGAAAAACTGTCCATCTTACCAAGTTTTAAAACCTTATATCCAGCCAAAAAGTCTTTTTGATCTTGATTTGAGACTGATTTACTAAACAAGAACTGATTGTTTAAGAATAATAATCTTATTTTCAGAATGTGTAAGATTATTTGCCTTCTTAGCCTGAAAATTTGACTCAAATTAAGTCAAAATTTCTGCCAATGGAGTAAGAAAATTTTACTTGGTAAGATTCTTGAAATAAGAAAAAACTGAGTCAAATCATGTATTTCAAGAATCTTACCAAGTAAATTTTTTTTTACTCCATTGGCAGAAATTTTTGACTTAATTTGAGTCAAATTTTCAGACTAACAAGACAAATAATCTTACACATTCTGAAAACAAGATTATTATTCTTACACACTCAGTTCTTGTTTAGTAAATCAGTCTCAAAACAAGATCAAAAAGACTTTTTGGCTGATATAAGATTTTAAAACTTGGTAAGATGGACAGTTTATGCAGTGAACAAGCAGAAAGCTCTGAATGTCACACATGTAAAGCTTTATGTTGGAAATATGACCATTTAAAATGAGCCTTCACTTTTTTGTTTTAAAGAGAGAATTATGTGGCATGAGAGTCAATAAGAGTTTGGGTGTGTGCAGTTTGAACTCCGAAGAAAATTCGGGCAAATAAAAACCCTTAAGTCCTACAGAGCAGAGAGGCATTGGGTAAAAGAGGACAAAAACACCTTGATCTATAAACTGTGCAATAAATGGGAAGCTTGAAACAAACAGGAAGGGTTTGTTTTTGTAATTATTTTTTTGGATAATGTAGATGGCTCAAATTTAGAGTGTGTGACATCAGTACTTTAACATGAATGTTCAATTTAATCTGTGATAATGAAAAAGGAAACAGATTTTAAAAAGGGCTTTTCAACTAAAATGCTCAGTGGGCCACAGTTACTTAAAGCCACATAGTGGAAACACTGCATTATGTAAAAAAGTATTATCTTTTACCTTTTGAATAATTTTGTTGCATTGAATCATAAATTTAAAAATGATATAAAACTATTTTTTTATTAAATTAGGTTAAAAAACATGCATACAGTTCTTTTTTTATTGGCAGGCTGGACGGAAGTCACCCACGGGCCAGAGGTGGCCCGCGGGCTGCCAGTTGAAAATGTCAGTTCAGTCAAGTGAAGTTTAACTTTCACGTTGAATCATGTTTCATGTGAGGTTTACCTAATGCAGCACTATAAAAACAAAAGTCCATAGTTGTCTATGAGAAAAATTTTTTTTTCAGTTTTATGTGAATTTATTCTGTGTCGTGCATTGCCCTGACACAGCACAGCACTCCTGACTGAGACACTTTTTTTTTATCTTTTCGTAAGCTGTGTGAGGAAAAGTGAGACAAAAATTGTGACCAAAGTGGCTAAAGTTAGTCTAAAGAGGCTGTGATGTTTTTTGCACTCGTAGCATTAATAAAAAATTGTTTACATACAAAGCACAGTACATTGGTGCACTGTGCACATCCTCACATGACAGAAACAGATAAACCACAAACTCCCCTTGATTTGTTTAAATTCTCTATATTAGAAATCAAACTGGTTTAACATCCTGTAATACATGTATGCTTTCTTAATTTTGCTTATTATTATTATTATTATTATTATTATTATTGTTATTATTATTATTATTATTGTTATTATTGTTGTTGTTGTTGTTGTTGTTGTTATTATTCACATACGATGTTTCCTTTGGGTCCAGGGTGGCCATCCATTCCACCAACACCCTGTAACAGGAAGGGAGAACACGATTATTCACAAAGAAGGAAAAAAGAGAAGACCCCCCACCCCTCACAAAATAAAAAGTATTTCTCGTTTGGTTTTAAAGACGTTGTTTGCTTAATTCAAAACAAATATCATAAATATTAAGATTAGTCTTCTCCCCACTGTAGACAACATTCGGAAACGCTGAAACCGAGCTCGACACCATGAGCTGCTTCTCCTCTGTTCTGTCTGCGATAAACTGAGCTGTGCGTTTCCCTCCGGCTTCTTTGTTCTAGCCGCGCACACGAGAGGCTGAAAACTCATTCTGCTCTCCGAACAGGAAATCTGGAGCAACAGATTGGCTCTGAAATGATGAGAGGAGGGTAAAGAGGCGACTCACAGGTGGTCCGGGAGGTCCCTGAGGTCCTTTTGGTCCCAGCAAACCGCGGGGCCCCTAAAAAGGTAGGAGAGAAGTCAGAGTGAGTGATGGCACACCTTTATTCTGAAGGAAACACCTTTTCATTTTTCTCAATCCAAACCTGAGAAACCGTGTTTTAAGTTATTGTTCTGGGACTGACAGGCCCAGACAGTGTTGCACACCCTGGTGGGCTAAAGGAATCATAACATGTGATGTCAGGGCCTTTCTTGTGCAGTGAGAGAGTGTGAGGCTATTCTAACAGCTGTGTTGTAGACTGCCTGATAAACACACACTGAGATAGACTCAGGGTAAACATCTTACTATACAGAACTGTGATATATGACACATGTTGTCACTGGGAGCTAACTCCATCACATGATGAGAACAGGCCCTGAGTCACACTTTCTGTGATGTTGGACTGAATAAAAAGGCGAGCTGTCACTCACCGGTTCACCAGGAAGTCCCCTGGGTCCGATCTCTCCATCATCCCCCTGTGAAAGAGACGGAGCGGGTCAGACAGCGGAGCGGGCAGGGAATGATAATGGAAGAGGAAGTGAGGAGTTTCGGGTCAAACGGACAATGACACGGAAAAAAAAGAAAATCAAGTGAAAAAAGAGCTGGCCTTCCATTAGCTGCAGGTGAAGAGGAAACACAAGGGTAAAAGTGAGAAGAGATAAAAATAGACCGAGAGAGAGGATTTCTAGTTCAGCTGGGAGGAAGAAGAGTAACAACAGCACAGCTACATGTTATGTTACCCTCTCTCCATCTTCTCCAGGAGCACCAGGAGGTCCAGAGGGGCCAGGTTCCCCCTATAAAAACAAACATTAATATAACACACTTCATAGTGACTCATGTTAAAACTGTTTTCATAAAACCCATAACATTACTCACTCTGTGTCCTTTTTCACCAGGAAGTCCAGCCAAACCATCAAAACCTCTGTCTCCCTGAAAAACAAAAATCAAAACAAGCTTCGAAAATCTGTTTAAACTGGTTTTATGAAATTTCAAGCACTGGAAGCAGTTTAATATTTGAAGCCAGAAAAATAAATACCTTCGGTCCAGTCTGTCCAGGCATTCCTCTTGCACCATCTGAACCAGACCGACCCTGTAGAAACACAGAAAACCAGCTTCTTACAGAGAATCAGATAGAAAATACAGAGTTTTAGCTTTTTATTAAAAGAAAACATCTGTAACAAAATGGATAATAACTCCTGAAAGCTGGTTGAACAACTCACCCTTCTGCCAGGCTTTCCAGTGGGTCCAGCAGACCCCATAGGTCCACGAGGTCCCTGAAACCAAATGCTTATTATCAATCAGATACTTTTCATACAAAAAGGTTTAAAATATTGCAAATTCTTTGGTAATTTGTTGTGGGGGAAGCCATGAAACATAGAACACATAACAATGTTTGGATTTAACCCTAAAACACATTCAGGACATTACAGGACAGAACTGGGACAGGTGATACCTGAGGTCCTGCTTCTCCAGACTCTCCCTTCAGTCCTGAAACCCCTGGGGGACCCTGGGGGAGGAAAGAACAGATGAATGCTAATCAACAAATGTTTGCCACACGTGTAAAACTACTAAACAAAAGTGCGTTTGTCAGTGAGTGTTTGCGGTGAAATACACACCAGAGGACCAGGTCTACCAGTCAATCCCATTGGACCTGTGGGTCCACGCATAGCCAGCTGAACACACAAAGAACAAGAAGGTGTCAAAAATGGGGACATAAACACAAACATTTTGAAAACCTTAATTTTTAACAAAATAACAATAAATAAAACCCATCTGAGCAATGACCAAGGGGTGACATTAAATTCAAATAAACAAGCTTTTATTTTGACGGTACACTTAGAGTGGAGTTGTTACCCTGGCCTGCTGCATGATGGCTTGCATCTGGGCCTCCTGTGCTGAAACAGCCGGTCCTTTCTGTCCAGAATCTCCTCCAGAACTGAGTCTGAACTATGGCGGGAACAACAGGTTTGTAAAGAGACCGAACAAGACGACAAAAATGAAAGCAAACTGAAACATCTGGAGAGACGACAACAAATATAAAAAATTTATTTAGTGTGTTTTTCACATTTTAAAATGACTTCAAATATGTTTGCTTCAAGCATCAGCTTTAAACCAGACCCAGCAGTGGGTTTTGGGAATCCACAAGGTTCAAATTCTACTGCCATCTGGTGGTCATCATGAAGCCTTGCACCATGGCTGAAAATAAAATGTTGGGATGGGTTTATTTTGGTGAGGCCAGACTTTTATGGTTGGATCATGGGACAGAGGTTTCAGGAGGCTGACTGTCTGCAACGTTACAAATTCAGAGCGACAAAACAACAAGTGAAATATGCTTCAGGATTTCCAAAACAAGATAAAAATGAAGTTTTATTTGAGCATCGTTTTAACAGCCACACTGGAACCTCTCCAATAACAACACTGTTCGTCAATTTGATTATTCTGTTAATTAAAAAAATCTATTGATAAAAATGACCAAGAAAAACTAAAAAAAGAAGAATATTCAATAAAGACATGAAGTTTTGTCTCTGATAGATTGGTTATCAGCTGTGTATGGCTTGGTTTGTCAGAGTCAACAAAAGGAGCCAATAAGTTCTCTGCTGAAACAGGACAAAACTAGCAGGTCTGCTTCTCATTATTGGAGCTCAGTGATCAGACTTCAGGCTGTGCTGTCCGCCAGACGATACACCAGAAGAAACTGTACTTCCTGTCCAGACAGAACTTGCCACATGGTTCTGCCAAACAGATCTGTAAACCACCAAAACCACAACTTCACATCTGTACAGCTAATCAGGCTCAAGAGCATCTTCCAAGTTCAAAGCAGATCAGAGACTGGAAGGGTAAAAGCAAAATGTCCCGACTCGGTATCTGATGCTAAAGCGGTTCTACGCTGACTGAAAAGACACCTGAAAGTTTTAATTCTGACTTTAAGTCAGAAACACGCAGACAGACGAGAGATGTTAAACGCAGACTGGAGTAGCAGGAGTCCAAAGGCGCTGCCTCACCACAAGGGGTTGCTAAAGCATAAAGATAAATCTGAGCATGTTTACGAGAGGTTCATTACAGTTGTTCTCATCGGAAATTCCCTTCCTCCCAGCAGACTGTGTGAAACATGTGTCCCACTTATTGATAAAACAGACAAAGACGCTTCGAACTCTGCTTTTTAATGACTCAACATCACGATGAAGTCATGTCAGAGGTTTTAGTCGTCGACACACAAAAAGACAGCTTTTCCAATTTTAACCGTGTTTTCCTCGCTTTTTAACAACTTTAATTTACTTACAGGCAGCATCAGAACAGTTCCAGGGGGTCCTGGCAGACCATCAGCACCAGGAAGACCAGGACGACCCGGCAGACCCTTAAATGGAAAATAACACACTAATAAGCACTTACACACACACACATAAAAAAGTGTGTATTTTTTGAATGCTTGAAAACTGTGCGATATAAACATTTGTCTTACTCTCTCTCCAGGATCTCCAGGACCGCCTGGTGGGCCAGAAGAACCTGGGGGTCCGGGGAGACCCTATTTTAAACAAAAACAATTGATTTTGATTTGTTGCCACACACAGGAGAAAATAGTCCATGTTGTAAAATAAAAAGGAAAAAAAAGGCAGAAGAAGTTGAGTTGCTGTCTGTATTTGCTGATGGCTCATCATGTCAGAGGCTGGACACCATCTGCAGGGTGTCAGAACCACCTGAGTGCTTTAAAAACCTGTCTAGTGTTCTTTAACTTTTGCCAAAGTTCAAACTCTTCAGTGTCCGACTTTAAATCGGAGTTTTTAATTGTTAACAAATAAAAATGAGGACGTGAAACCTCATCGTCTTCATCGGCAGATAGAGGAAGCAGAAGAACAAAAAGCTGAAGATGTGAAAAGATTGACAGAACTGAACACAGATTGACTTACTGTTGGCCCCTCAGGCCCTGGCGGACCCTCCAACAGCATTCCCTAAAAACACACACAGATATCATCACATGCAGCAGCAGTCTGATCGGGCTCAACAATACCTCAGCCTGCACTTTGAGTAGCTTTGGATTAAAGAGTTAAATACACATACAAACATTCCCCGACGACTAATTGACTATTAAAATAGTCGATGACTAATTTAATAATTGATTTTCTTTTACTTTGTTTTTCTCTCCAAACTGCTTTGACACCTTCCACTGCCACATCTACCTTTCTGTCCTTGACACACATGCACAGTAGTGGTAACTGGGGTAGGCCGTGGATGTCACAAAACATTATACAGATCATGGCTATCCAGCAACGGAGCTCAAAAGTTTTTAAGAAAATGATGCAATGCAATATCAGCAAGGCAGAGTTTGCCTTCTACGGCAGTTATTTTTAGTTAGCATATAGCTAAAATCTAACGATGGTTATATAATAGCAGCTGCATTCTGGCGTGATAAGCTGTATGTTTTTTATTCAATTAACGTATGATCCGATTAGTCGACTAATCGAAAAAAATAATCGGTGATTAGTCGACTATAAAAATAATCGTTTGGGGCAGCCCCACTCTCGGGTATGCCTCCATTTTATCCAGAGAGAGGAGAGAGTGCATGGATGCTAACAAGGCTAACATGCCCTGAGCTTCTTCTACTTCCTATCCATCTGTGCATGTTTGAAAGCATTGATTCATTTAAGACATATCTGAAAACACACCTCTTTAAACAAGCTTTTAACTAACCAATTTCAGCGTTTTTCTGCAGCCTGACCTTTTAGTGCCTTTTTCACCAAACCCTACCTACTGACAGTACAATTCATCATATTAATATATGTCAAACAGCCAGTATTTTCATCCAAAATCATTTCAATTTATCAAAAATGTATTTTTCTAAAATGTACCAGTACTCCACAATCTACCCATTTGGAGACCTGCCTCCAAATTAATTTCTGATTTAAAAATCCTTCATCTAATATGTCAGTGTTTTACTCTGCCCTGCCCATTTTTGTCTAGATATTATTTACTTGTTTTATTTTTCGGATTGCACAATCTTGATACTTTGATGGTTGTACAGCTTTTATACCTTTTTGTTCCAAATTGTTGTATTTCCTGTTCAGATTGTATATCTTTTAGATTTGCCTCTGATTGTACAGCACCTTGTGAAACTATTTCTATGAAAGGTGCTATATAAATAAAACTTTACTTACTTACTTCTATGGGCTAACAGAGGTGTTCATTAGTTTAAACTGACCAATGAACTTGTGTTCTGAACTCAATGTCAACTTTGAAAAAGAATAAATAAAATAAAATAAGAAATGATGTCATTGTTTATTTTCTTCATCCTGAACAGCGGATCATTTCATCTTGCACACTTCCTGCCTGGCTGCAGTATGTGTGAGGCGTGAGGAGTTGCACGTGGAAGCATGAAAACCCACCGAGTCATCGAGGAAACGGACTCAAACTTGAACACAGACGCTGGGTGATAAAGGAGAGTGCACTCAAGAGGAGCTGCGGGGTATTTGTTTGAAGTAAAGCAGCTGTGGGTCTACAGATAATAATGGATGACTCATTCTTACAGATGCTCACATATGAGTGTGTGATTTCAGGTCAGGACTGTCTGCGCTCCACCTGAAAATGCTTTGGTTTCTTGGTAGAGAAGCAGAAAAAAAAGGCTTTAGTTCCTTTCCTCTTGTGTTTACACACCACCCAGCATGTGTTTGGACAGTGTTGTCAGACCCTTCGTGGCCAGTCTCCAAGTGTTTATGCTCTGGCCCTGATAAACAGCCACGAGTCGGCCCTCATACACGGATACTATAAGGAAGGTGAAGTGGGTCCAAATGGAAAGGGTTTGGTGGGACGATTCTCAGGAATGAGGGATGCATTGTGTTTACATGTGGGTCACACATATGCGCCTGCATCTTCAAACTGTGCACACATGCAGCTTACATCTGCTGCTCAACTATGTTGTTCAAACAGGACTACTCACAGGCTCAATAACAGCGGGTTCTCCCTTCTGTCCTTTCTCACCACGAGCTCCGTCCACCTACGCAGCAAACACACACATACAGTGTAAGTACAAAACTTTCCATCTGATTTCAATTCAGCGACATTGTTTAGATATCTCTGCGTTGTTTCTCACCTGTCCGTAGTACTCATCGGTCTCAGCGGGCAGCACTTTGGTGTCCTCATAGTCTTCGTACAAGTCGATATTTCCCAAATCGCCATAATCTGTGATGTCCTCCTCCTTGAACTTATCCAGGTCTGAGTAGTCATTGTCTCCACCCGCACCCAGGTCTGTCCCGGTGGAGACGGACCCGCCGGCTCCAGTGCCAGCGCTGGCTGATCCACCTCCAGTGGAAGAAGATCCTCCGACAGATACAGAACCTCCTCCCACAGAAACAGAACCCCCACCAACAGATACGGAACCACCTCCTACGGAAACAGAACCACCACCTCCAACTGAGCCACCCCCGATGGTGATGGTAGAACTGCTGCTGTCCACTCCACCGGTCGTGTAGTAGCTGTCCACTCCGTAGTCGTAACCATCCCCATAGTCACTGTAGGAACCACCCTTTAAACAAAACACACACATTCCTGTTGAGATGGAATATTATAAAATATGAATGAAAGCTGTCACTAAATAATATAAACTCTTCACATATCAACAAAAATAAAATAACGCCAGAGAACAAGCTTACTACAGATGATGCATAAAGTTATCTTCTTTAACACATTCTTTAATCCATTTCACAGGCAGGTGATGCCTGTCTCCAATAGCCAACTTTACAAAAGTGCCTTTTGGAAAATTTCCATGCAATTTTAATTTTTTCACTCTCAGTATTCCACGTGAAAATGTCTGAGGTCATGGGTTCTTTAACCCCACTAGTCACAACAATTATCATAAAATTTAGTTTTGTCTATAAGGCTCCAAAAATGTTACAATTATTGTTCAGTAAATCTAAAAAATACAGTGTTTGGTTGAAATATTTGCAATATCAAATGCTTAAAGCTAACAGTCACATGACCAGAGCTGTTTACTTCCTGGTTGGACCACAATGAGAGGATGGCTGCCTCAAGCCTTCCAGAGAAAAGGCAAATAAAGTATGATGAAATAAACATAGGACAGTGATTTGTGGCGCATGTGATAATGTGTCCAGTTATGATATACTAACACATTCTCACTCCCGACTCATCACATATTGACGCTTTTCCAAGGTTCCCTCTGCGTTTTATTTTGACGCGTCGGGTACAACTGTCGCGTCAGTTTTTGACACACCAGGCATTTCTGTGTTCCCTCGGCATCAAGGTTTGACACGTTGGGACGCAAAATATAGGGGTCTTTGACTTGGGGTCCGTTGTTAATATTAGGGATCAGGGTTAATGGTTAATTTTAGGTACTGGGGACAGGGATAGGATGTCTAGGGTGAATATTAGGTTATTTTAGGCTTTGGGACACGTAGTTCACATGAATTTCCTACAATTTCTAAAAATGGTTAATTTTAGGTACTAGGGTCAGGGACAGCATGTCCAGAGTGAATAAATGTAATTTTAGGCTTTGGGACGGTAGTTTTTGGTGCATTTTCTACACTTTCTGAAATTATGACAACGGCTTCCGCCCCATCTCGTCAATAACTGACGCGAGGGGGGTTCCCGACGCGTTAAAATCGGACGCAGAGGGAACCTTGGAAAAGCGTCAATATGTGACGACTTGGGAGTGAGAATGGTTTGGATATTCTCCATGGTTTGGTGTGTGTGCAGAGTGAGTAAACATGTTGATGGTTACAACAGCGATAGCACATTGTCTGTAGGTACACACATAACTAAATACATACCATATTCGTGCCACAGCAAATTGTCTATTTTTTCACTTTCTTTCAGATGATCTTGAGTGAGGTTCTTCATATGTTAGATTTAGGTGATGGGTCAGACAAAGCATGCAACACTGCAGTTAACCCTCGAAATGAGAAAGATGCCGCCCTCACTGATTTTGATCGAGATGGATCAGACATGGACTATTACCGGGAGACACTGTAGACCATTTGCCATCTCAATTTTTTTGTATATATGTTTTCTACACAGACCCAGACTGGATATTGTTCACTCACAAAGGATGAGTGAGACCTACCAAAAGGCATACAAGATTTCATCCACAACAACGACTGGGGTGAAAGCTCAACTTACTGTTTTATTGCTGGTGACTGTTATTGTGCTTCCTCCAGCGGTGATGACCTTCTTGTTGATTTCAGCGCCAGCTTCCAGGTCCACCTTCCCTCCAGCTCCCAGGTCCAACTGGCCCCCGGTGCCAATATCAGTGATGGTGATCCGTCCAGTGGTGTCAGCATCAGGTGCAGCGGTGGACTCGTCATAGTAGTAGTTATTGTAGGCATCGTAGCTGTCGTAGGGGGTGTTCTCGTCTCCGTACGTTTCTTCTCCTTCTGTAGCTGAAGTGCTGCGAGACGAGCTGGATGACGAGCTGGATGACGAGCTGGATGACGAGCTGGATGATGAGCCGGATGATGAGCTGGATGATGAGCCGGATGATGAGCTGGATGATGAGCCGGATGATGAGCTGGATGATGAGCCGGATGATGAGCTGGATGATGAGCCGGTGGAGCCGGTGGAAACAGAAGTGGAGCCAGTTCCGCCAGAACCGCCTCTCACACTTTTTTTTACCGTGCTCACTGCATCACCTTCACCTGCCACCTGTTAGGTCCAAAGGAGACTGTTAATAAACAATTGGAACATTTTGGAGTCTAAGTTTCAGGTTTTTCCAATCAATTGTTCATATCTTTTTCCATTTTAGATTATTTTTAGGGGGTTGCTACCTATCGGTTATGGTTTTGTCCAGTTTTAGCTGCTTTTGAGGGATTTCCAACCAGTCAGTCATGGTTTTTTCCAGTTTCACCTGTTTTTGAGGGGTATCCTACCAATCGGTTAGGTTTTTTTTTCCTATTTAGACTGCTTTTGAAGGGTTTCTTTTCTGAGCAGAAGGCTGATGACTACCTGGAGTTTTCTTGTGATCGTCTCTGTTTCGGAGGTGGATTCATAGGGCTTCCCTTCGATGTCATCGTAATAAGGGTATTCATAATAGTAGTTTCCTTCTGTAGGCTGAAAACAGAGAAATGTTACACTGAGTGGGATAGAAGAACAGTAAATGAATAACATCATGATTTGAAATAAAATCAACAGTTCTGACGCCTCTGGCTGTCTGGCCATTGATCAGAACCACACACCTGACACTAGATCTCTCTGTTGGAACCTGCAGTGACGGAATGACTAATTGCTTCTTCACACTTTCCCTAATAAGCCTGTCATTTGTTCACAGAGATGGAAAAAAAGCCACTTTTGTGTACTTTACAGGTTCCAGGCAGAGCAATAGTTCAGAGCTTCCAGTTGATCCTGTAACACGTCTGGGACTGCTCTTTAATCAACATGCACACCATCTAAATCCATTTAGCGCACACGGTGCAGAAAAAAAGGCATCATTTCAGAGCTTTATTGACTTAACTGCACAGCCTTAAAACCTTCTTCTTCTCACTCAGAAATTAACTCCAGCACACTGCAGTTCTTTTTCTTTTCAGCAAAAGGAACCAATCATGAATTGATCTAATTATTGGAAATAAATATGAATAAAAAAAGGAAGGTCAGGCAGAGGACCACTGCCTGGTTTCTGTGATGCCCAAAATTGTTGGAAGAAAACCACCCTGAAGTGGTGTCACAGGGAGCCATGTGTTCACAACGATATTTTTTAAACAAAGCCATTGTAGCTACATCAAAGGAGATGCTAACAAACATCTTTCAAAAATGTGTGATCAGTGAACAACGTCCTTCTCTCTGCCTTCACGACTGTATGAAACCAGCCTTTGTTGCAGATCTGTAGATGATTGGCTGCTAGCCTGTTAGCTAGGCTAACAAACAGACAGACCTTTACTTTTTCATGTGAGGTGACATGCAAAAGTAACTAAATAACTCTTGGTTAAAAAAAAAACTAAACGTAAAAAGTAAAGCATGTAAAACAATAACAAATCCTGTTTTTATTTTACAGAAAAGAGCTATAAGAATTATTACCAGAAAACATTACAGTCACCCATCAAATTCATTGCTCAGTCAGTTGAAGTTATTGAAATCCTATGATTTGGTTGATTATAGTACTGCCAGTTACTGTATGTAGGGCCCATAAAAATACATTACCTTCAAACATCCAATTACATTTTGTGAGTTGTTACAATTTGAAGGGGATTGAAATGTTTGTCAAACCTAAAAATAGAACCAGTTTGAAGGAATGGAGTACCTCTGTCCAAAGAATTAATTTATGGAATAATCTTGAGGATAATGTTAAAAAAGCCAGATCAATGTGTATATTCAAGAAAATGATAAAGGTAAATCTGTTGGAGAAATATGTATGAGTATAAGGCATGAATTGTTACTCAAGAAGGAATTAAACTTTATTGTTTTTTCTTTCATTTTTTTTGTATGTTGTAAATTGAAGATTTTTTTGATTGAATTTATTTAAGAAAAAGGGGCATAAATCACAAGATTCTTTTCTTCTTCTGCTACATTTTATTTAATTAGATTTTTTTTTTGTTGTATGTAGAATTTAAGTTGTTTTGTTTCAAATGAATAAACTTTATAAACTTTAAAATTTAGAAAGTATTTACTTCTCTTTTTTAAAAGTGTCCCTTCCCATTTTGGTTCAACCAAAAGGCCTTTATAAACTGGAAAATAACAGTTCAAAGCAACTGATTCCTTTCATAACATACAAAATACAGTAATAATAATAAAAGGCTGGTTTTCAGTGATACAATTTGTTTTCATTTAAGGGCCAACTTTAGATGGTCCTGTGTTCGAAAATAAAACAATTAAAAGAAAGAAAAGCTGAAGGCGTAGGACTTAACTTACATATTCATCTGTTTTTGTGTCTGCATTGGGGTCCTGGTTCTGTGGCTGGTCAGGTACTGACACTTCACAGTCGGGGCTGTAGTGCTCACAGTAGTCGTATGCAGCCCGGTGGTCTGCTACAATCATTAGCTGCTGGATGTCTCCCTGGAAACCACAAAACACAGAAAAGTCATGAAAAGTTGATTAGAAACAGCTCAAGGCCATGCATGCACGTCAACAAACAGATGAGATACAGTAACAGAAGGGTAGGGGGTGAAATCATCTGTATTTGAACATGAGACACAGTTCTGCTCCAGAACTCGAAACTAGGTCAAGCTGAGGGAGGATGAGGAACGTCGTCCCAGGTCCAACAATGTTGTTCTGCATCAGAGTCAAACAAAAAGACAAAAACAAGCAGCACAGTGTTCAAGTTGCCGCAGAGGAGACAGAACAAAAAATAGGGGGTAACACTTTCTTTTACGGTACCCTTATTACCATGTAATTACAAGGTAATAAAAAAGTAATTAAATGGTAATTGTAATTACTACCTTATTACTACGTAATTATGTTGTAATTAGGGTACAAAAGACAAAACTACTGTTAATAAAACTACCTTTATTGGGTAACTACAATCAAATTACTATTCAATAGTAACTCAACATTATATTTGTAACCAAAAGAGTGCAAATAAAGTTTGGGGTTAGTGATTAATTGCAATAAAATATAACTTTAAAAATGTCCAAATTACCTACTACTTATTTAGGTGTTACATAGTGAACTGTAATACATTACCAGGTAAGTGCTACATTACTGCAGACAATTAATTACATAGTAAAATTGTACCCAAATTACCACGTAATTACATGGTAATAAGGGTACCGTAAAAGAAAGCATTACCAAATAGGGACTGTTTTTTTTTAATAAGGGCTCTGTCCAGATCTGCATTCTGCCTTTAAGCAGAACGTTTTACTTTGACTCAAACTTAAGAGATCCCTGACTTCAACAGATCAGCTGGAAGGAAAAAAGAGTGAATTTAAAAAAAGGAAAAACTTTTATGACAGAGAAGAAAAAAATACTTAAAAAAGGCAAGACAAAAGCAAATGAGAGAGAAAGAGAAGGCTCAGAAGGATCTCCAGGCTACATGGGGAGCTGGGTGTGTTCGCCACATGTTCCTCTAAAGAATGCACATGGCACCAAAACGCTGTTCTGCATCTTTCCAAACATGTCCTGCTCACACTTCCAAACCCGGTGATGTCATCCTACATCCATCAAACACCGAGTCAACAGAGCTGAGACAGCTCCAAGTTCGATGGGCAGGGGAAATGAAGCAACACACACACACACAAACACACACACACACACACACACACAACCTGGTTTTAATTTCATCCAAGTGCCAATGGTCTGAAAGCTTTCTTTTCTGACAAACAGAAACGGATTGCATTTGTGGTCTGACCACAGACTATTCATTGAGGAGCTTCACTCCCACAGTTTTACTGAAACACGCCACAGTAAAGTCTCTGTCTTAGATCCTTTAATGAATCTTACAAAGCCCCCACAAGTTGTTGCTTCCTGCCCTGACTGGGCCATATGTTATCAGAAAGGAAAATCTAACCCTTCGTAGAGAACTAAGAGACACCAGCAGCTATTACACATGACTCTCCGACAACAGAGAAGATTTGGTGTCTAACTGCAAAACCTGTTCAGTATAAAATGAAACTGTTGACTGTAGACATGCAGTGGTTAGTCTGAAGTCAGTTAATGAGCTCAGTGTCACAAATTGAATTAAAATGTGGACGAAGAATGCTACCTGATATTTGATATACTATCAAATATAACATCACATCATCTGCAAACGAATTACACAAAGAAACGTCTTTAGCCTGACAATGTAAAGCTAATATTTGCCTTATTTAAATATGATTTCAGGCAGATGTGTCAGAAGTCCCTTTCTGTATTTGTTTGTCTTTTCGTAGTTAGCTTAGTGTAGTTTGGTCAAAATCCAACAATCCTCTCTGAAAAAAATATACTGTCTGTAAACCACAGACTAAAAGTTTCTGCACTATCTACGATCTTAAAAACTTGGCAAAAGAATGTTCATACTAGACCAAAAAAGTAAAATAATAATATTAAAAAATGTTTTAAAAAAGGGCAGAACAGATTTTGCTTATGAGAATTTTCATAAACCATGTACCAGAGCTACTCACTCTAACAGCTCAGAACCACAAATCCAACAATTATGTATCATTGTATAAATAAACCCAGTAATCCAATGATCTATCACCTTTTAAATACATTTATTTTGCTGCATATCATAAATGCAGCAAACTGAAGGCAGTAAATGATTTTTCAAAATGAAACAATATTAACACAGAAATAACATGTTATAACTGCTCTCTGTTTTTCATATCTAAAACTTGGATTCACCAAATATTAAGAACAGCAGGTAAGGACGTCATAACAGTCATTTTACAGGAAACAACATTTTATATGATAACGGTCATGTTTGACACACAATCTAACCTGCTGAACTTTAGGAGGAGCTACAGGCTTCACCTAACAGAACAGGTACAAACATTCATTTGTCCCTCTGTCTAATATAGCTATCAGTGAAAAAATTGAGATCTTAATAATCAGTAATTTATGTGACTAAATTTACATAAATGTTATGTGTAGCAGTTGTTACACAACTCAGTCAACCTTACCTATGAGTTCATTTAAAATATTTCTGCTAGGGCGGTGATTATTTTATATAGTATATCTCTTACCAGATATTTTAACAGGATCACCAGTCTGATGAAAAGTTTGTCGTATCAGATTTTACCAAATATTTGTCTGTTTTTTTTCTAATATAAAATCCTGTTGTTTTGGATTCTAGGTGTACATACTGTATTATAAATCTTTGTGTTTTACAAAAAAATTTACAAACCAGTAATTATGTCTCCTCATTTTTAAAGTGCCTGTGACATCAATTCTTTGTAATAAATATGAATACATTTTTGCAAAAACATTTTTATACCACTGAGATGAACAGTAGTTGAGATATTCACATGTGAAGTGACAGGAAGTGATGTCAAAGGGAAATGTCTGAATGTAAACAGAAAATTGCTAGAATGACCGACAACACAGACTGCAGAGAAGAATTTGATGTTTTTTTTTTGATTATTTTAAATCACTATCAAAGAGAGACAAAGAAGAGTCATAGTTCAAAATATATTGTTTTAATAAACAAAGACCAGAGTTTCTCATCTTAAAGAGTTCCCCTTTGATGTCACTTCCTGTTTCATTTTGGCTGAGCCAAATTTAAAAGGAAATATGCCAGTTATGTGACAAAATGGGTTAAAATCATGTGTTTTATGCCAAGATTTTCAAATATGAAGATGTTTACTTTGACTTTTTGTATTTGAAGGACATGCACGTCACATGCACTTTAATATACGGTATAATGTTTTTAATGCTGTGACTTGTCAATCAGCTGGGGTGGCCAATCTGACAAGTGGCACCCTGGCCACACCTCCTGCCCTGCCCCTTTTCAGAACATAAGAATCATTGCTAATATCACTGTTTTCTTAACTGAATTAAATGGGTTATTTTTGAAGTGATGTTCTGTCAGATAGTTATCATGTTAGTAGCTATGTGAGTGAGTGAGTGAGTGTGGAGAAAAGGGTAGATGTCTGTCCAGACCAGTCTAAAGGCTAAACAAGGGCCTTTTTCTGAAAAAAAAAAAAAAAAGACTTACTGGTGTGAAAAATTGATACATTGGCTAATAATAAACTTCTACACTTTTGCATGACATTGTTTTAAGATGTTGTTTTTTTCAACCAAACATCCATAAAACTACACCAATATACAGAATGTGTAGAGTCAAACCATGTTTATCTTGTTGTTAATGTTGGGGCTGTGAGGGTGTCTGAAAACCAGCAGCAAATACCACATAATACACACAGTCTATGCTCCGGACAGATTTGATCCTGTAGTAAAGAAAACAGCAACAAAATTAATTGTCATTTAAAAGTGTGTTTCACTATTAGCTAATGTAGAATTGTTTTTTTTTATATATATATATATATCTATATGGGATTTTAAAAAAATTTAAGCAGTTTTAGAAATTTGGAAAGCAACAACAAAAAATATGTAAATAAAAAAAGGACTTTGTTTGGCTAGCCTTTAGCCTAGCCTGGAGAAAAACATAATGCCCTTTCCTCCAAACTCTGCGCTCTATGAGTGATCTGAAGACTGTAGCTAAACTGATAACTATTCAACAAAACTTCACCTTAGGAATGATGACCAGATTTTTTTCTTCAAGTTGCTGTATTTTTGTATGAAAAGTTGATGGTAAGACCGGCTTAAGAGTTGCTTCTAACCCTCAGGTCTTATTTTGGGAACAGTGCCTGAGAAATGTGGGCAGTGATCCTTGAACCTGGAGCTGAAGATAGCGAATCACTACACACCTATAATTAACCTTTAAAGGGCCAATATGATATGTTTCTCAGTTCAATTTTATTAAACCAAGTAACTATGTCACCTTCATTTTCTATGAAAATACTGTTTATATGTCCGTTTCCGTTTTCTGCCGCTTATCCGGGATTGGGTCGCGGGGGCAGCAGCCTAAGCAGAGAGACCCAGACTTCTCTCTCCCCAGCCACTTGGATCAGCTCGTCCAGGGGAATCCCAAGGCGCTCCCAGGCCAGCCGTTTATATGTATAAATCAAAAATAAATTTGACTTTGCATGAAAGCTGTTTCTTACAGAGTCCACGAGGGGATGTGGGGGGATTTTTTTCTTTTGTGTTCCCACGCACTACTTTTGCGTTACCTCGTAATATTTTTGCGTTACCTCGTAATACTTTTGCGTTAACTTGCAATACTGTTTTTGCATTCCCACGCAAAAATTTGATTTGTATATGAACTGAATTAAATCAGACTTTTATTTTGAAATATTTGGTTACCAAAACATGATGTGTCGCCACAAGTTTGTGAAATTGACATTGATGTTGCGTGGCTGTACTGTGTTAAAATATCGGCATATGGCATACTTCCATGTGTGGCTATGTGATATATTCATTCTGAAGTGTAATTAAAGCAGTAGGCTAACTCGCTAATGGTGAACATGTGAGTTTCATAATAAACCAGCAGGCACAACAGTGATAAATGACTTTTGCGAGGG